CAGCAGGTCTCAGGTGGTTTATCAAGACTGGGGGGTACAATTTTCAGCGAATGCCTTCTGTGACCTTACATGAAAAATTGAGCTGTTATGATCATGGACTTAAAATTATGTTTAATTTACTTCTTTGAGCTGTCACCATTGGCGTGGAGACCTGAATGAATCCCCAAACTATTAGGTCTTTGAAGGCTTAGACACACCAAACCAACATGAAAGAACTAGCAGCAATGAAAGCTGACTGTTGCATCACCTCATGTAACCTGTGTCTTGGCCAAAAAGTTGCATCCAACCAGCACGTACCTTCTGTGCCTCTATGAGAGGAAATAACTCTCCATACCAGAAGACGGCAGGAGTCTTTAAGTGTCATTCAAAAAGGGAAACGGAAGACTGTTTTGACGTTAGTTAGCCAGTTAGCACAATAACAATCCAAACCAATGTTGAAGGAACAGAGCATATTTATCATGCTCCAGTAAACAGTAACACAAACCATCACGAAACATTTCTGCTAAAGGGCTCAATGGATAAAGAAAAATAATCGTACCTTATGTAACAAGTTTTTTCAATCTCACTCCCTCTTGACTTCAGCTGTTTTTTTACTTTCCTCACTTCCACTTCTCATGTGGTGAGATGAATGGCCAATCAGAGTGATTTAATTCACAGGCAGGCTCTGTCGTCTCCGACATTAATTCAGTATGCTTTATCCTCAACATGCCAAAAAGGGCCGACGAGGGCCAGTGGTGTGGGACACACCGCAAAGGCTAGGGTGACAGACGCTTACCGACGGACCAGCACTGAGCGACGACTGTCTGTCGGTTTGGTGTGTCAGGGCCTTTAAATGTAGACGTAGACAATATTTGCCAAGTAGCTACACCAATTCTAATACTTTATTATATTCTACACATTATGGTATCCAAAAATGTGTCTGTTCACTCACCCCCTCTAAGCCACTCGTGCCTGCCCTGTCTTCACTTTCCTTCTCTCCCTGAATCGTCTGGAGCAAATATGAGATTATTAGTGACCGTGTGCTTATTCATCGATGTAAGGTGGCCAAAAAGAGTAATGATAGATTTTTACTTCATTTTATTCTATCATAGTTTCCAAAAATCTCACCATTCTCACTCACCTCCTCCAAATCACCTGTGCCTGCGCTTTCTCCAGCTTCCTTCACTCCTCCTCTCTCCCTCTGGGTCCACTGTCAACATGAGATTCTTTGATAAACTATTGAATTCTGGTCATAGTTGAACAGCATGTGGTCCATGAAGGATAGTTGTTAGGCAAATGTAGACCTTCTGAAGCTTTAAGTTGATCCTTATGTAATGCCATGCCTCCTCTGCTGCATCTGTCTCTTCTTTCTCCTTTTGTTTTGCCCAATCACAACAAAGGGAATGAGACATAAGGAGCAACATGTGGTTAATAGAAGAAACTTCCATAGAAACACAGTGATGGAACCAGCTACTTATTTTCACTTTGTTAGCTTTTTTTCCCAAGGAAATGTCACTGTTCCTTTACATGGTTATTGTTATAACTTACACAAAGGTAAAACGGCCAAAGTGTGAAAATTAGTTTTTGAGAGACAGCTGGAAGCTAGTATTAGCTGTTTACTCCTGTGGAGTGTAGACCCTACATACCCCAGAGTCACTTTGATGTTCAGCTTTTAAATATTATGAAAATACTAACTATGCACTATATTTACAATATGTGTACTATCATTCATACTAGTATGAATCTTTTCAAATGCACTGAGCTGTAATTACCACGTCTCTTTCTGAGAGCCTCCTGGTTCAACACATGCAGCTTCAGTGGGACAATGTTTATCACACAGTAATAAATTAAGTTTTACTCGAAGAAGATGTCACAACAAACGTCACAGAGAAAAAAAAAGTGAATGACTGTGACATTATTCTGTGCACTATACAAGAAGCCATGACTCGAAACAAGCAGCAATTCTCTCTCTGTTGAACCCAGATTTGGAGTGTCAGTGCGCTCTTGTTAAATCTGCTTGAGGTTCACCGTTGGGCTGCAAATGAATTCAATTGGTACCATATTTTATGCTCATTATAAGAGAAAAAAAGTTGTGAAATATTTACATATTTTGAACTGTTTTGAACTTGTTCACCCCTAAGTACTTAAGCTTGACCACTGCAACAGAGGCTGAGTTAGTGTAGCCACTAAAATAAAGTGTAAAAAGCAGCTGGTTACATTGGCATAAAAAAACATGCATTTAATCAACATATGACTTTTAGTTATACATTTGTAACAGTAATCTTTATGTCAGCAGATGTTTTAGATAATCACAGATTAAATTATTAAACTGATTGGTGTTAAATATATAATATGCAACATTTCCCCATAAAATTGTGTAAGAACAACTAGACCAATTTTATACATTCTGTTGAGTTACTTACTGTAAAACTTCAATTAGTAGCCTGGGCTATTATTTGCTTAAATCACTTAACTCAACAGGCTCATATCTGGGACAGACGCCTATATAATCCAGGCCTTTAATTCCTTTTAACCAATATGAATATATCTTGTATAAAAATTAGGCTTTGAATAACATATCAATTATGTGTTATAGCACTTGTTTCACGGCACCCCATGATAACGGCATACTGACACAACACCACTTTATCCTGTTAAAATAAGATTCATAACTTAGATTAATATTTATAAAAACACTTCTAATTCTTTTGATTGGTGGACCCTGTAGGACTAAAGGAGTATAAATAATGTATCCAGTAATAAAGAAATGGACCATATTCTGACTTTATGACAGCTTTAGAGGAGGGGAGTCACCACTTGTTTTTTTGTCATGCCAGTAAATCGGAATTAATTACGGTGTTCTCTGGTGCTCATGGTTTGAGTAAAATGAAATGAACCGAGCTAATGATGTGTAGCATCTCCATATCGACAAAAGTTTAAACATTTATATTTATATGTGCGATTAGAACACCTAACTAATGTTGGCTGTTTAAACATTTATATTCACATGTGCGATCTAAACAGCTAACTAATGTTGGCTGTTTAAACATTTATATTCACATGTGCGATCTGAACAGCTAACTAATGTTGGCTGTTTAAACATTTATATTTATATGTGCGATCTGAACAGCTAACTAATGTTGGCACAAGTGGGTAGTCCACGGTCCAGTTTTATATATCCAAAGAACTTCTATAAAAATGAACTGCTTGGTAGCCAGACCTGGAGACTAATTAAGACAGGCCTGTATTTGTCAAAATGTGTAGCCACACGGGGCTAGTAAAAGAGACTGGGCTTTAATTGCAGTTTTACGGTACATTATCCCAATTTTTTCCAACAATGTTGAAAGCCTAGCGAAATCTGTAATTTTATTCAGGGTAATGGTGGGTTTCATTTGGTTGCCTGTCAATGCTGCCATTTCCTTTTCACCCCTTCTTGTTGCTTTAAATACCAGGGAAACACGGGAAACACTAGATGATACTTTGTTGTAAATCACAATGTCAGAATTATACTCAATAACAGTAATGCAGCTTTTCTTCTGCCACACAGCCTTGTGTTTTTATGAATTGTGTACCATTTTGGTGCACAGTAAGAGACCTAGTTTATTGATGTGATATGTCAATATCGGTCCAGTTTTCTATGATGTGCTACTATGACAAGTGGCTCCAGCCAGCCAGCAAGCTAGTTCATACGGTAGTGTTATAACATTACAACATTAAACACCCTTACAAAGTTATTTTTAATATGATTGTTTTGACCATTGATATCAATGCTGAGCTACGCCATGATTTAATTTCTACATAACATAAGCTACAGGGGTAGTCAGCTCATCTAATGCTAATGGTAAGTTAGCAAGTTAACTTGCAGCAATTTCATTACAATGATATGTAGGCCCAAACAGAATCTGCAGATTTTGTAATTATTTCTAGCAGTAATCCAAAAAGAAAATCTGTGGATTTTTTTTTCTCTTAATGTGATAGCTAGAATTACCTTAAGCAGGCTAAAATGACTTCTTAGTAGATTTTAGTAAAAACTTAATCAGAAATTCATTTAATCATGAATACTTAAAAAATTTAACATTTGTTGGAAATGTCAGTCAACACAATGCCATTAGAACGGATGGGTTCAATATGAAGCAGAGAGAACAGACATTAATTTGCCAATCTACTAACAGTCTATTAACAGTAAATCTTATTTTTGACATTTCCTCATAGTGCACCACTAACTTTAATTTTAATGCTAACTGAATACAACACGATTGTCACACACATGCACAAGGAGGGGGAGGAGACAGTGACAACATCCTGAGTTTAGAAGCAGCATCAATATTCCTAAAATCTGCAGTAAACCTGCTGAAGTCTGGGTCTGATGATATGACATAAGGTGAATAAACATAACCTGAATAAAACTTTAACACATTAGCTCGTCCGTAAACATGATTTCTGCCTGAGTTGTGTCACATAGATCTTCATCTGAAATGGGGCTGTTTGAACAATGAACTCCCATGATCCCATGCTACTTCATGATGTCATTAAAGTCTCTTTCGCCATTGTTTTGATTGAGAGAGCCCATACTGTGCATTATTACTTATTGATTAGTAAATTTGGCATACCCCACATAAACAGTACAGTATGTGATATCTTTGCTAAACAAATCTCTGACCTGCTTGTGCACTGAATTGACCTGCCTCCAGCTTATTTAATAACAGAAGTCACCCCCTTTCTCATTGGTTGTTGCATAACCTTTGTCAGAGCAGCCAATGAGCATGCAGCTGACTCTCTGGAAGGACTGAATGTGCAACTTGGAGTGGGCTAAATGCTGAGCGAGTGTTTATTTTGACATTTGTTTCAAACAATTTAATTGTATGACAATATCTGCCAGTTATTGAAAATCTGTTTTCTGGGAAGATGTTTCTCCTTTTTTCTTCTTCTTCTTTTGGCCTTCCCGGCCCTCCATGCTGTGAGGTAAAATGATCTTTCGGGGAGAACATTAACACTGTTTCTTGTTTATAACTTGTGTCTAGCCTTTTGGAGGGGATGGCTGGTGTGACACCATCAACAACCGGGCCTACTGCCAGTATGATGGAGGAGACTGCTGCCCGTCCACACTCTCCACCAGAAAGGTACACAAACAGACATTTCCAGCGCTACACCTCCTGTTTGCCATATTTACACAGGAAGAGAAAGACTAATTTCCATCGCTTTTATACCATCTGTTTTTGTTTTAATAATATAAATATATTTTGGAGAGTATTCTTTCAACAGATATTACTTACAATATCTGTCTGCTTTGTTTAAAAGGTGGCAAAGTGTTGTTTGGCTCACTCCAGGCCTCCATCTTGCAATCAAGATGGAGCTTAGAAGCTGAAGCAGGATTCAAAGCCAGATTCTTCCTGTTTACAGTAGTAGAAAGCCGTCTCCTTTGGCACGAGCGCCGTGCCAATACGCAGGAGACTTCCACTAAGCAAACAAACACAGATCCCTGCTACTTTCCCCTCTCTCCTGTTAACGACTGCGACTATTTAGTCTCCCTCATCTGTACTTAAAACAACAGAGGAGACTTGTGCCTTCCAGCTTTTCCACTCAGATGGTAAATAAGCAGGTTTTCACCACCCCATGCAGCCATACACTTTCTCACCTCTCATATTAAGCCTTTGCTCCACTGCAGACGGGACTAGTCAGGGTTCAGGACGTCAGAACACACATAGCTGTGGACATAATATCTTTTCTCTCTCTTTTTCTCTCTTACTCTCAAACAGTTTCAGGTAGTGGTGGTCCCGAAAAACCCAAAGCATCTTTAGTGGAGATGTTTTTCTATTGCAGCTCTGCAGTGTGATGTAGGTCTTTAATCTAATTTTAAAACCAAAAACATTTAATGCGGGCCTAATCAGTTTGATAAATATGTTGGATATCTTAATGTTTATCCATCCTAACACACGCTCCCTGGTGATAGCTTGTTCGTGCTCACTACAAATGCAAATGCATCACATTACACTAATTGCTCTAAATGATTGCTGTATATATTGGGTGGCTAAGAGGAATGGTATGAATAATAATGAGCAAGCCCAGGTCGGGCCAGTGGTGAAAACCAGGCCACTCATTCCCTCAACTGCTTCTACATAAACACATCTTTTTTTCCTATTTTTCTGTGCTTTCATGAGAACTTCTCTCCCATGTAGACATTTGTTGGGAAGTAACCGCCCCTCCTCACTATACCCTATTTGGCTACTGTACAGCCACATATTCATGACACTCATTCAGGGGGCCCTGCCTATTAATTCCTACGGCCTACAGTTGGCCGAGTCCCGGCTGTCTCCTTCATGTCCGCAGCACACCATGACTCACTGGCAGCTCCTTCCTAAAAGGAGAAGGAGTTCAGCGAGTGTGTAGCTGCCATCGTAATAAATGAGCTGCCAGATTGCCACTAACTGCTCTTTTACAGGGAGAGGTGGAGGTGGAGGGTATGAGAGTGGGAGCAGCGAGGTGTCTGACGGTCTGCAGTTTAGTCGGCCACTGTAAAACAGCAGCTCAGCGAGCGGGGGTCGTTCTGAGGAAGTGAACTAAACCTCTGTGAGAGTCAGCATCCTGACTGCCACCGCGGCTCCAGCAGAGCGATGAAGCAGAGGGGGGGTGATGAAGAGCGGTGGTTTGTTTACAGAACTCTCTGTTTCCCCACCACTCGACATGTGCAGGTGTAGGAAATTACAGGTTTTTAACACAGCGTGACCCACATCGCAAGTTTCCCCTGCTGTCACACAAGAACATTTTGAGAGTTGGAATATTTCATGCCTATTTGCTACAGTGTTGATCAAATATCAGTTATAAACACACACAGATGACAATGAGGTGAGTTCGATTTTAACCTCATTCTCCAAGTAACACGGCCACTTCACAGATTGCTCCAGTATCTGGCAGGATAAGTAACCTGCATCTGAACTACATCAAATATTTGAATCAATATTCATATCTATTTGTGTCTGGATCAGTCTAATGGGGCCAGCTGCCTCCTTTTTATGGAGCTCAGGCAGTATTGGTTTTATTTACTGGGGTTGTTGTAGTGATGACAAGGGAGGAGGGATACACGAGAGATGATTCAGGTGGGATTCAGTCATTGGCCAACAGGGGAAAACTCCAGAAGAAAAGATCTGAGCTGCCACACCATCTATGGAAACACACAATCTTCCTTTGATTTGTTAACTAGAGTCTGTGTTTTAGTCCAACACAGGGCCAAAGTAGTAAAAGCAGCAAAGAGTGAACAGAAGGAAGACAACAAGACATGATTTTTTTCAAAGTTTAAAGCTTTTGGTTTTGATTGCACGCAAGGTTGAATTCATCACTTTAAAACGTTTTCTTGTCACATGAGTTCTGTTCATGAATATATTGCAGTAAACAGCGGGAAGGCAGCAAATCCAAACACTCCGAAACCGCCAAAAGGGTTGGCTTTTGTTTCTCTGGATGAGGCAAAAACAAGCCCCTTCTTTCCTTCCAAAGGTTGTTAGGAGGCATCAAAGGTGGAGTACTGCTTGGCTTGTTCTGCGCCTGCATCAATGAATCAAGATGAAGCTGTTAAGGAAACATTTAATGGCCGTGCCAATTCATCTTAAATGGGACTGCTGGCATTTTGAGTGAAGCTTGGGCCTTCTGCAGCTCGTTGAGAGCCCTCAGCGAAACTATTACCCTGCCATCAACCCCCGTCTCCCTCCAAAACTGAGTGCAATCAGCAGTGAAGGCCGACAAGCCTACCTCCCACTCTCCTTCTCGCCTTGCTTGCAGTCATCCTTATTTTCTTTCTCTACCTCCCACCCTCCTCTCTCCCTCTCCCTTTCTTTCTCTCAATCTTCCTTTCACTCCTTCTCTCCAGGAGCGAATGTTTACATTTCTTGCAACAGACTGCTTCGCGGGGCACCAGAGTTTATTTTGCAACCTGTGGTGATGGCTCGCTTCCTAGACAAGAGCTGGCAGCCTCTTGTTGTTGATTCTTAACATGTGTTCATCCGTTCACCTCCACGGCGGTGCGTTCCTCCCTCCTTTCCCCCCTGAAGACCCTCAAGGTTTCTCGCCATTCAAAGGCCACGTTGAACCATTTGACATCATGCGCTTTATCGGCCTCCGGGGGGCCGTTGGAGCTCTCTTTGAAACTGTGAGGAAATACAACAAGTGGACTAAGACCATGCTCGGGTTACTAAGCGGTACTCACCTTTCAGCACAAACAGTGTAGAAGTGGGGGCAAAATTTTTCACTAGCTGCTAGGTCAGTTCAAGCAAATGTATTTTTTATTGTCTGTTTTTGCCATTCAAAGTCGTGCTCTTTGCTACAGTTGAAATGTAACAATCCTATTGGGAAGCCTCCTCAACTAGTGCATTTTTCAGTGACTCTGCTTTTACTGAAAGTCCTGATGTAATATTTCCCTTTATTCTGCTGCTTTTCATCCTTCTTCTTTAGGCTTTAGTTCCACCTACTTACACTGAAACAGGCCATATATACGCACAGCATTTTATCATTTCATCAAAGACCGTCTCAGGAAGTCTTAAACAGGGAAACCAACCAAATGGAATGTGTGTTTTCTTGGTTTAGTCATCCATTAAAAATGACATCTGCACCAGACGGACACATATTGTGTTTTTGTTTGAATCCAGACACAGATTGAAAGATCTATAGTGGCTCCGGGAAGCCGAGCGCTCAAAGTTGTGCTTGTTTACCGACAGGTCATTCAGTTTGGGACCGACTGCAACCAGGACGAGTGCACTTGCCGTGATCCGGACGCCGAGGAGAATAAGAGCAAAGCCAAGAGCTTGGGAGGAGGAGGAGGAGGAGGAGGAGGAGGAGGTGGAGCTGGAGGAGGAATGCAATAAGATGGAGGGATGAAAGAGGCTGAACTTGTGTTAAACAGAGTCAAACCGCAGACTATATGCCACAACAAACAAACAAAAAAATATTACATTTTAAACATTTGTAATGCAGAGAACGCGATTGAAGTCAGACATCATCCAATAAAAAGACATTTTATTTTATCATCAGCAATCTTAACTGTTAAAAAGCATCACATATGAGTCATGGTGGTTTAAAAATGTCCACAAACATCCACACGTAAGTATATTGTTTTCTCTTCCTGTTAAGAAGGGTCATCTTCACTGCTGGGTTTGTGTAGGAGCAGAAAAGCCTATTTAAAAAATGAGACCCAAACTGAGGAAATGCTGAGGTCCAGTTCAAACAGGGTTAGAAAGCAGTTTATCCACTCCTGTACAAATCAAGTCATCATAATTGGATCAAATCACTGTTGTAAATGGATTCAAGTACTTTTCTGGACTTGATTAGTCTTGGGATAAAGAAACCAAAAGAACTGGCTGTGCCTGAAAACTGTTTCAGTGCATGCACAGACCTTACAGCAAGGGCTACTGCTACCAACTGTGTTTACTGTAGCACCCAGTTAGAGGAGAAACATCAGCATCCCATGGAACTATTTCAATGTTTCACCATTATGTCACAGTGAGGCCAAAATAATTCAGTTTTTTAACTCGTCTGATGGCTATTCAAAAGCAAATGAGGACTAGTCAAATTTAAGTCAAGTGGGCAGAGGGAAAGAGTCACCTGATTTCTGTTCCACGACACAGAAACATTACTTCAGAAAAACCTGATGCCTGGCAGACCAAAACAAATCATCCCAAACAGTAAAATTAGTCACAACCTTCATCATCAAATCCTTCTACAAACACTTCTTTCTAACACATAGCTTGTTAGAAATGTAAAAGGATACATATCTGTAAAGACTAACATGTATAGACTAATATATTTGGATCACCTAACATATCTAATGAATTAGTCGCACAAGTCAACACTCTATTTATATCACAGATCCAGTAATACAGACATTTATGTGTACCCTACAGCATGTGCACAGGGCTTCCCAAAGTGTATTTTATGTGTTCAGCTGTATTCACAAGAAAAACATGTCATACAGATAATGTCAGATATTTGTAATCATAAACAATTACGTCCAAATTTAAATGGGAAAGTCAGATATCGCCTGTGCTGAATTTCCACTGAAACAAAGACGCACTTGAAATTGGAATGTTGGAGTCGGCACAGCAGCGGATAAACCAAAAAGATAAAGACAAACATTAAGATAAAAAAGACTTTTGGGAAGCCTAGGCATATATTTTGCACACAGACTTCAAACTTCTCCTGCTTGCATGTTTGTATGTCAGGTTCTGGTATCCATTAGCCAGAAATGATGAAGTACCCCATATTGTATCTATAAAAGTGTAATCATGTTCTTTGTGATATTTTACAGTACTTTATACTCTATATGAAATAAATAGCAACTTTATATCGACCCTTATAATGTGTTTCTTGGTTTGATTTATGTTCATGCACAGAAGACGTGTCTTTTGTGGGTTTCTATCCATGTACAAATTATATGTTACAATGTTAAAACAACATGTGGTTGACTTGACAGTACACTCACACACACACATGCACGCACAGTTTTGTCTATTTTTGGCCTTGCTGTATAACTTTTAGCCATATGATGTCTTGTATGACTCACAAATGAATACACATGAATACTGGGACATTCTCCTCAGCAAGTTTAAAGGGGCAGTTCACCAAAATAACAAAAAGAGAAACAGACGATATTAATGTAAAGGTATAAATTCAGTATTTTGACACATCTGCTACTGATAGTCTGAGTACTCCTCATTAACTGACCACAGTAAAAACAACAACCTGTGACTTAAGTTCCTACTGCTACTGAAACTTAACAGTCATACAGAGGCCTTTCTCAATCTGCATTCTTGTTTCTACTTGTGTCCATGGACTTGTAAAACATCATCACTCACATCCCAGACACTGTTCCAATTCAAAGTCTACATCTAGCCAAATACAGTCCAAATGTTCTTACTCTGCCGGTTTTATTGAGACTCTGGGAGCTGAGTTGTTTGGAATTGGGCTCACCAAGTATCCCAGAATGCATTTTGCGCCACGCAGTGATGATAACAAGGCTTTAGAGTTTTGGTATTTTTTCAGGTGAGAAAGTAACCATTTAGATTTGGATTATGTGGTCATGTTATCCAACAAACTCCTATTTGGACATTTGCTCAGATGTTTTTTTTGATATGTGAGGGCCTGCTGGCTGTGTGAGACCGGCTGCAGAGAGGACTGGCCGGTCTATGTCCGTCATTATCCTGGTGGGAACACTTTCGTTTAGCCTTTTGGTCCTTTACTTCAGGCTCTAACCCCCCTGTAGCTGTTTGATATAAAAAGCCCATATTTGTTGCTGTCACGCTAGCTGTCTGTAGGATGAAGTTCATGTTGTTATTTGACATTTCAATACAAATTAACAAATATATTGAAATGAAAAATAAACGGGGTCTATATAAATTACGAATTATTATTATGAATTACTTATTTCATTCGGACCCGGCGCCATTGCGCAACAACTTCATGGCCGCATTGTTTACTCCAGAGATCAGCTGATCGCGCTGAGGCCGGCCGGCTTGTCGGCCGGAACATCGGAGATACCAGCTGAACTGTGGAGGAAAACACACAGAGGATGCAGGGGAGGAAGTAAACAGCGGCGGAAAAAAGCAGGGTTGAGACAACGGAGGCTTATGGAGAAGAGAAGATATAAGCCGTGTCTCCCCTCTCTCGTCATGGGCAACGTGAGGTCACTGGCAAATAAGATGGACGAGCTGACAGCGGTCGCCAAAAGTCAGAAGGAGTACCGGGAATGTAGTCTTATGTGCTTCACTGAGACATGGCTTCACCAGGACATTCCCGACACCAACGTCTCCATCAGCGGCTTTCAGACTGTTCGGGCCGACCGGGACTGCACCGAGAGCGGTAAGCGCAAAGGAGGGGGGCTTGCTGTTCTAGTAAATAACCGCTGGTGCAGTCCTGACCATATTTCCATTAAGGAACGTATCTGTTGCCCGGACATTGAACTGTTCGCTGTTGGACTCAGGCCGTATTATTTGCCCAGGGAGTTTTCACATGCCATTATTGTAACTGTTTACATCCCCCCCTCTGCCAACCCGACGTCGGCATGTGATGTCATTCACTCCGCCATAGCCCGCCTGCAGACTAAACACCCGAGTGCCTTCATAGCTATCTCGGGTGACTTCAACCATGTCACCATGGCAACAACATTGCCCACATTCACACAGTATGTGAGCTGTCCTACCAGAGAGGAGAGGACACTGGACTTGCTGTATGCAAACGCCAAAGATGCATACAGCTGCTCCCCCCTCCCCCCTCTGGGTAGGTCAGACCACAGCCTGGTGCACCTCAACCCCTGCTATGTACCACTAGTCAAGAGCCAGCCTGCGACCATGAGGACAGTGAGGAGATGGTCGGAGGAGACTTATGAGACACTGCAGGGCTGTTTTGGGGTGACAGACTGGCAGGCACTCTGTGAGCCACATGGGGAGGACATCGACGGGCTCACAGAATGCATCACAGACTACATCAGTTTCTGTGTGGACTCCACTGTCCCAGCCAGGACTGTCCATTGTTATCCAAATAACAAACCGTGGGTAACAAAGGACATCAAAGCCATCCTCAATGCAAAGAAGAGGGCCTTCAGAGCTGGTAACAGGGAGGAGGTGAGAACAATACAGGGGGAGCTGAAGATGAAGATCAGGGAGGCTAAGGAGAGGTACAGGAGGAAGCTGGAGAGGAAACTCCAGCAGAACAACGTGAGAGAGGTCTGGAGTGGAATGAGGACCATCACTGGCTTCAGGACCAACAACCACAGAGGAGTTGAAGGCAGCATGGACAGGGCCAATGAACTGAATCTGTTTTTTAACAGATTTGACACTGCTGGCCCTGCCCATCCCCCCCCTGACTCTTCTGCTGTCTGTCTTGGTCAACCATCTCCCACTCTGCCCTCCTCCCCCACTCCTCCCTCTCACACCTCAACACCCTCCTGCTTGACCCCCCCTCCTCCTCCTCCTCCTCACACCTCATCCCCCCGTGGTCAGACTGACTGCTCTCTCCATCATGAGGACTACACCCCTCCCCCACGTGTCGTCACCTCCACAATGTGCTTCACTGCTGACCATGTGAGAAGACAGCTGATGAGACTCCACTCAAATAAGGCTGCAGGCCCTGATGGTGTCAGCCCCAGGGTGCTCAAAGCCTGTGCCCCCCAGCTATGTGGAGTACTTCAGCATGTCTTCAACATGAGCCTGAGTCTCCAGAGGGTCCCCTTGCTGTGGAAGACATCCTGCCTTGTTCCTGTGCCAAAGACGTCACGTCCCAGTGGCTCCAAGGACTACAGACCCGTGGCATTGACCTCCCACATCATGAAGACCCTGGAGAGACTCGTCTTGGAGCAGCTCCGGCCCATGGTCAAGCCACTTTTGGACCCCCTCCAGTTCGCCTATCAGCCCCGACTTGGAGTTGAGGACGCCATCATCTACCTGCTCAACCGCGTCTACGCCCATTTGGATAAGCCGGCGAGCACTGTGAGGGTCATGTTTTTTGACTTCTCTAGTGCATTCAACACCATCCGTCCAGCTCTACTGGGTGACAAGCTGACAGCAATGCAGGTGGATGCCCCCCTGGTGTCCTGGATTGTAGACTACTTGACTGGCAGACCACAGTATGTGCGCTTGCAACGCTGTGTGTCAGACAGAGTGGTCAGCAATACCGGGGCCCCGCAGGGGACTGTCCTCTCTCCCTTCCTCTTCACCCTCTACACCACGGACTTCAGCTATTGCACTGAGACCTGCCATCTTCAGAAGTTTTCTGATGACTCTGCTATAGTTGGATGTATCACCAAGGGTGATGAGGATGAGTACAGGGCTGTTGTGGATAACTTTGTCACATGGTGTGAGCAGAACCATCTGCAGCTCAACGTGGCAAAGACAAAGGAACTGGCTGTGGATCTGAGGAGGACCAAGACATCGGTGACCCCTGTTTCCATCCAAGGGGTCAGTGTGGACATTGTAGAGGACTATAAGTACCTGGGGGTACACATTGACAGTAAACTGGACTGGGTTAAGAACACTAACGCTCTCTACAGGAAGGGCCAGAGCCGTCTCTATTTTCTGAGGCGACTGAGGTCCTTCAACATCTGCCGGACTATGCTGAGGATTTTCTATGAGTCTGTGGTGGCCAGTGCTATCCTCTATGCTGTTGTGTGCTGGGGCAGCAGGCTGAGGGTGGCGGACGCCAACAGACTTAACAAACTGATCCGCAAGGCCAGTGACGTTGTGGGAACGGAGTGTGACTCTCTGATGGTGGTGTCAGAGAGGAGGATGCTGTCTAAGCTACGAACTGTCTTGGACAATGTCTCACACCCACTCCACCATGTGCTGGTCAGGCACAAGAGTACTTTCAGTGGGAGACTCATACCACCAAGATGTACCACTGAGCGCCACAGGAAATCATTCCTGCCTGTGGCCATCAAACTGTACAACTCCTCCCTCTGAGTGGCCCTGAGACTCTCACACACTGCAATAACTTAATTTAACTTGTGCAATAACCCCGTTCACCCTGACTGTATATATTCTGTTTGTGTAAATTTTGTTTACTATATATATATATATATATATATACACATATATAATTTACGTTTATGTTTGTTAATAATTCCTGTTTATTTAACTATATATTTGTTAATACTATTGTTTAAATTTCTTATATTTTCATGTATCTTTCCTGTCTTGCAAGGAGCACCTGTAACATAAATAATTTCCCCTCGGGGATCAATAAAGTATTTCTGATTCTGATTCTGATTCTGATAAATGTTTTAAACATACATTACAGATAGGATAACAGGCATATCTCTTCACTGCATCTTACTGTCAGCTGTTTTTTCTTTGGAAAAGTCTGCTAGTGAACCTTCTTGTTCAGATCATTATATCAGAAGGTACAGTTGTGTTAGTGTCAACACTTTAGCCGAACTGCTGCCCCAGTTGCAGATTGATTGTACTGCATCCCCCTGTCCTCAGGAGCGTGGACTCCAGAGTTGAACTTGCCAAGTTTGAACTCCAAAGTACGCCTCAAGAGTACAAATTCATGTTCATGAATTAAGTCATTTAAGAGCACCAGAAAGTAGTGCAAACAAATAAGAAGAGATTTCTTCTGGGCTCTGTTGGATTCCAAACGGTTAAGGATTTCTACACAGCCACTTTTCATAATATATTCTTTATTGTTCTTTGAAGTAGCAAAGATCAAAGTGAAAAAGTTAAGTGTATGATAGCCACAGACAGTATAGACAGAATAATATCATGCAGATAGTAGATGGTTGGTTCACATTTCTCTCAAAGGTCAAGAGCTCTCCATGTTGTTGCCTGTTTCAATTAGTTTGGCATTTTACCATTTTTGTATATATAGTTTTTTAACCAACCAGTCACTTACAGTTCATGACAAAGGTCTAATCCAGTTTCATTAATCCAATCGCTAGACTAAGCTACACAGCAGATATAACAATACAATATTTTATCTACTAAAGCACATGGCAATGTTGTAAAATATCACCTGTTGTACATGTATATACAGAAGAAAAACACTGTACTGTGCTATAATGTGATGCATTTATGAAATACTTTGCCGCCTATACAAAAATCTACAAGTGTTTGTTTTAGTATTCACATATGAGATTTGTTAAAAATCAACAACTAATATACATTTGCATTTCTTTGACATCAATCTCCAACATGGCCACTGCACAATGAGAAAATGATAACAGAACAAATAGAGGCCAAACTAAAGTAGAAATTTACTCACAATAAACACACGGTATTAATGAGAATGTCTGATAAATCTCTCTAAAGACGTTATTGCATGAAGTTTAAACATACAGAGAAGCAGTTGAAAACATTAAGACACTGTTAATTTGCCTTTTCAATACCGAATTATCACTTTAAACAGCGTTGATTGGTTAGATTTTGAAATATGTTAAATTGATAAAGGAAAATACTGTCAAATGGTTTGGCACCTTTACAGAACATGTAAATAAAATGAGCTGATCTGTGTACTTCCTCTGTGATGCCTGTTTTAGTAAAACTCCTTTATAACAGCTTTACTTATAAATGCAAACTATTGATACTACATTCAGCAGGTTATATCGCTAAAACTTTATGATAATGCTATGTACAAGTTTGTTTTGAATGTCTATACTACTAAAATAACTCCCAGGAGACATCCTCTCTTATTTGTCTTCTATCTTTCCTGTAAAATCTCTTTGACTTCTTACATGCTACCTCAACTCTCTCATAGAAACATGGATAACTAAAATGCACCTGTTCCCAATGTTATCAACCCATGAAATGGCCGTTATCAGTTGTTAAAAGGCAAACCGCATGTACCAGTTCCCCAGATGGTGCAAAGGTGCATAACCTTGGTTCAACTGATCTCATAAAAATATGTGAAATAACCACCACTTCTTTACACTGCATTACATGGTAGTAGCACGGTTAGGCTTAGGCTTTTAGAAAAAAAAAAAAAAAACTGTTTCCAATTAAAATAACTACATTAGTCACATACAGTTCTATACTAAATTGTAAAGTCGCATAAATACGTCACGTAACTACATAAAGGATTAAGTACATAAAGTCAAAAGTAAAAAAGAAGTCAACACTGACTTTTTGTTTCACACAGGACACAAACAGCGGTCTCCTGGATGAAGGTTCTAGGTTTGTTTGACCCATCTGCCACTCTGGACTTCATGCTATACAAACCTTTGTGATACATTACGTATCACCACAATGCAATGTGGTATTAAGAGGCCATTTTATGCATTTCTGTGAGACCAGGTTGCCTTGATTAGGTTTGGGAAAGGATCATGGTTTGGTGGTTGACGTTTGTAACAAAACTTGAGTTACGTATGTAAATTAAGTACGTTACATAACTGATGTACGTTAGTTAAAATAAGTCAATGTTGACTTTTGGTTTCACATGGGACATGAACAGTGGTCTCCTGGGTCAATGTCCCGTGATTGTTTGACCGATCCATCAACCCCAACCACCTCCCTATGTGGACATAATCGCTCTTTATGCTACGTCACCTGACTTCCTCCTTTGCTCCAGTCCTAATTCCGACAGCCACCAGAGGTCGCTGCTTAACAATAAACCTGAATATAGGAGGCAGAGTGGGGCCATACTACCTCAAATTTATGCTCCAGATGACATTTGATAACAGCTATTTGATGGGCTGATAACATTTGAACTGAGTAGTAAAATACTGGCTTTTTTCCCAGCGTCGCTACATGACATTTTCCTTAAATATGTTGCACTGCATTGACCTTTTAAGTTGTTTGAATAACAACAAACAAAACCAGGTTTGTACATACTAGTTCAGGAGGCTGACAACTTCATTCAAAATATGTAAAAAGAGAAGTGATAGTTCATAAACGGTTTAAGCAACTCCGCACAATACAGCAGCCAATACCAAATCACAGCTGAAAGAGATACATGACGTTCTAGCCCATGAAGTGTTCACCTGCTGGGTGTGTTGCAGTTGTTTGTAATGAATGCATACAACAAGCATCAGAAGCTGTAAAATATTTACCGATGGTTGGAATGTACCAGTGAAACTGAAGCTTCAATGAATGTTAAATCTTTACAAGACCCAGAAACTCCTGGATCCATCTTTCATGTAAACTTTACGAGAACAAAGTGTTGACTTTGGGTCAGGAGTCAGGTCAAAGAAGCAACAAGCTCTATCCAGGCTGTGGGATGGATGATGGCTGCCTAAAAAGTCACAATCACTATCAGTTTGGCCACTTGTTTGACATCACGAGTTGCCTTTTGTCATTTTTCCCCAAATTTCCAAAGATATGACTAAATTTGGATTTAAACAGGCACAAAGGAGCTGATGTGTGACCCTTTATATCCCAGATCTGACCTGTTATTATTTGACTGAAAATAAAGTCCAACAAAGAAATAAAGTGAAATAAAATGCATGGCCTTTGTTTGGTTCCTTTACGTTCCTTTAAGCTATTTGTTTAACTAAGATAGTTGCATTTAATGTCATGACTGAATAAAAAATGTAAATATTTTTATTTTTACCCTAATTACATTACATTTCATTTAGAGATGGAATTTTTCATGCCATTCTACAATTTAAAAAAAAAAAAAAAAATGGGGAAAGTTGGCATGGTGTGCTGTAAAAGGTGCTTCAGTTTTCGAGAAGATTTCTGATCTTTTTTGGTGTTTTATGCTTTTTAGGTCTGTCCATTCCTACCTTGCAATACTTCTACACTAAAAACATTTCAAATTTAAACACATACCTTTATTAACAAAAAGTTCGCCTTGGTGGCTAAGTAAACACTCTCTGCAAGGACACTTAACATGTTGACTGACGGAGCTGGTCATTGAATGGCCAACCCTCTGACTACTAAAGCTTTACTTAAGCTTCTCTTTCATTACATACTTCATCTATAGGATTTTGATGTATAGTAAAAAAATATGTATATTTATTATGCAGTGATACAGCAATCAAAAAGAACAAATAACAGCTGATTAAAGGCAAAGAAACAAGGAAGGGTTTTACTGTGAAGCATCTGCAGAATGTGTTAAGTTTGCATTATTTTCTACTAATCATTGCAAGGGAGGAATGGACTTCAGAAGGAGGTATGAATCAACAGAGTCCCAGTTTGTTAGATGATTATCAGGCTTCAGAGATCATCTCCTACCTGGAATCTCTGATGAGACTTTTAAATATATTAACCGTTAAAATGGTGAAGCCAATAAGAGTATATGGTGTTTCATTTATAGCTTATGGAAACAAACCAGCATTTTATTTGTTTCTTTGTTGGGCTTGACAAATCTCCTGTATTCCTGTGCACATCCAAACCTTCAATCATTTTACAGCTCCTTGGGCTCGCCATAGTCATTGTACATGACAGTGAGCGTCTGCTCGTCACAGGCCTTATGCACGTCCTGGCCCATGTCCGACCAGTTCAGCCCAAAGGCCTTAGTGTCGGTGTAACGGCAGGAGAGGAACTTGAGGGACATCCTGCGGAGGCCGATCTTCGGCTCCTGAAGCAGACCCTTACACCACGGGGAGAGTTCATCCAGCTGGGAGAGGATGAGGCCGGCCTTCCTGTTGGGACAAAGTGACAAAATGATTAAAATGTGTTTTTGTTTGCTTTCAAGGGCTTGATAGCATCCATAAACCTGTCAAAATAAGAGAGTAGGAGCAGAATTCATTCAAAACCAAATGGAACGTAAAAAATATAAATGACATTTCTTATTACAGGTCTGCAGCACAGCATGAACATCCACATGCATGTACGTTTTATGTGATATCAGAGGTTACTACATGGTTGAGTCTCTGTCATATGAAGTGTCCAAAAATAGTTTAAAACACAAGAAACAAAGTTTAAATTCAGGCAGAGTGCAAGTCACACTTGTATTAGCTGATCTGCATCGGCCGTTTGATTCATGCTTCACAATCATTGGCTCATCCACAGCTGTGTGACTAAAAAAGTCCATTCATATTAATACAGGTCAACATCGCATTCAGTAAGTCTCATTCCACCCCCATATCCTACTGCAGCTCCATCCACCATCCTGACCTCCTCCTCATGTGGTATTGTTTGTGTTGTTCATTTGAAATTTGAAAACATTTAATGTTCATGTATTTATTATTGATTCTATTTTTTTTTCTGAAAGGTCCCACAAAAAGCACAGACTTATGTGTCTCTGTCTGAACTTGCAGTTTGTGCTGATTACCTGGGCCTTAAAGCATCCTAAAAGCATCTTAAGGCTAAGATGATCTTCATCCTAATGTAAGTCTGCGGGTGAAGATGATCTTACACCTCATCCTATCATACAGCGAGTGAGCGAATTCTGATTCCAGTTATACTATGAGCAATGTCTTTTTTTTTTTTTTTAAGTGTCATGATGTTTACTCCATCTGCAAATGTGTAAGTCTCTCAGTTATTTATTTATAACTTGGGTCATTTTCTTAAGTTTTAATCATTTCCTCAACTTCGTAAATGAGTCTCTTCTTCATTGGGAAAAACTGAAACAATCTGGGGACGTATTCACAAAGCTTCCTGGTACAAAGAGTTTCTCCTAGTGATGAAATTCTTAGAATTGTGATGTTTTCTTTTCCCCTGAAAGTTAAGACTGGGTCTTGTAAAGATAAAAGTTATTCACAGAGACTTGTAGACCTTAAAAGAGCTCCTAATGGGAAAAACTTTTAGAAGTAGAGAGGAGGACTTTTAAGAGGCTTAATAGTTTCTCAATCAGAGGAGAAAATGGTGGGAACACAAAGAGGTCAGAGAAATATTCTCCAAACACTGCATGACAGTGAGTAAATGAAATGCCATAGATTACATTGTGCAGGGATAATACTTGAGGTCGATCTAATTAGGGGTATGCACGCCTTTCCCACCTAACACAATATAACGCCAGAAATGAAATTCACAACACTACGATATTTGGAAAACTGGAAAAATGCAACAGTGCAGCAGTGATGACTTGGGTCCGTCTCACTAACAGTGACAACACTTTCACAGCACCTTGCAGGCTCACAAAAGTGCGTGTCTCTGACAACCAATCACATCTGTTAAAAGCAAGCATTACACAAAGCAACAGGGTCAACCACACCTTCTCACTAAGATAAGTTTATGTCCCTTCTTTGCTCACAGTTGCTCTGAGAAGTTTCCTGAATCACTCCTGAGCAAAGACTCCTTACTTAAAGTTTTTAGGCTAAGTTAGGAGCTCTCTGAGAGTATTCTCTGAATGTACGTGAATACGACCCCAGATATTTATTCGTTCACATCATGTCCAGTTAAAGGAGCAGTGTGTAAGACTTAGGGGGCTTTGGTGGCATCTAGCAGTGATGATTGCAGCTTGCAACTAGCTGAAACTTTTCTTGGTTAGAATTCCTTCAGTGCTTATGGTTCAGGAGGTTTTTACTGAATTACCTGCAGAGGTCTCTTCCTCTCCTAAACAAATGGAGCAAGTGATTAAAACATGTAAAAACACTAAAAAGAAAAGCCAGTTTCAGTGTTTCTCCTATGCTGTTTGGCTAATCGCAGACAGGCCCAGCACCTGCTAATGTGAGGTAACCTTTTTTCTGATCCAGATGTTTAGGAGGTTTTTACAGAGAGCCGAATTATCTGCAGAGGTCTCCTCTTCTCTGCAACAAACAGACCCGGTGACTTAAACCAGTAAAAGCACTGAATAAAGCAGCTTCACATTACAAGTCAATGTTTCTCCGGCACTGTTTGGCATGTCAGAGATGGGCTACTAGCCTAGAACCTGCTAATGTGTGCTCACCTTTTCTATCTGATAACTTAAGATCCAGACATTCAGGACAATTTTACCAGGAGCCAAATTACCCGCAGAAGTTTCTTCCTTTCTAAAACAAACAGACACAAAACCACAAATGGCCATATCTAAAGCCAGGGTTTAGTTTGTCTGTTCTGGGCTGCTGTGGAAACATGGGGGTGAAACATGGCAGCCATCGTGGAAGAGGAACCGCTACGTATGAGGATATAAACAGCTCATTCTAAGGTAACAAAAACACAATTACAGGTACACAACAAACATTAATATATCATATTCTGTTTCTGACAATATGTCCCCCTAAATCCTACACACTGAACCTTTAAAAAGAGGTGATAGCCATAAGATGCTTGCCTTTCTGACTGTACCAGCCCGTAAATGTTGTGAACTGTAGTCTTTCTTGACACCAAATTGCACTGCACCACCAGACTGCCACTGCACCTCCCCTCCTATTTTGTCACATAGAAAGTCATCCAAATACAAAAGGGGAGCTGGCAGGAAACTGTCTCATTTCCACATCTACTTGTGCTTATATTGTGGCACGTGTGTGTACTGCCATATTTTGATTTTGACAGAAAGCCACAACATAAAAACAGCACAATCCTCTACATTGGTTGTAAAGGTTTAGAAATACAATGAACTGTGGGAAACACTTGATGCCAAGCATCTGAGAGAAGGTGGAATCTCAGTGTTGATGCAAATCAGCCTTCAGACACATTAGACTGTCTACAGTTCATAAATCTCACTGTAGCCCTGCTGTTGTTTTAGAATGACATCACTGTACGACAGAACCTAAAACCTACCCATCTACCACTGCTTCTCATCTGAAGGAGCTCACAGGGTAAGGTGCACTGTTACTGACACATTCCAACTTTGACCCAAAGCACACAGTGGCTGCTGAAGGTCTGTGTAGGAATGATGGAAGTAAAACAGTGGAAAAATGAATGAATGAAGAAGTGAATGGCCGTGGCAAGTCAAGAGCTGGTCCTGTGGAGGATAACAGGCTAAGTGATGGCTGTAATACTGTGAAGAGGCAGAGGAGAGACTATGAAATGCTTGACGTTGTGCTTTGGCCAAACCAGGCCAGCTGAAAAATCATCTCCATTAGTAATATGATGCACAGGGTTCACATAAATACATCTCATAGGGACACTGAACGCAATAAATAACCATTAATCCTGATGCAGCCTGTTTGGCCCTTGTCGTGAAATCCTGTCAAGTGTTTGTCTAAAGTCAGAAAATGGCAGCAGGAGAAGATTTCATTCATTCCACACACACTTTCTCCTCATTCTTCAGCCAAACCAGCACTTCTACAGCACACTGTCCCCGCTCTGCCAAGCCACAAGTCTGCTGGATGCACCAGAGTCACCAGAGCCACAGCACATTATACTGATGAACTGATGACAAATCAGAGCACCCAGGCTACACATACAATATGCACCAGTAAGAGGAAATTAATGACCCTACTGATCGAACCAACAAAGAGCATCTGTCTATTTTTAAGTGTTTTTACCTATTTGTAGCTCTAATTCTCTAGTTTTCCCTTTCACATGCACAGCACTTTGAGCAGATTGTTTGGTTTCCTTCCTGAATGCATCAATTCAAATCAGCTTGGAATGAGTGTGCAGGTGAAAACAAATGATGGTGAATTCCCAAATATACAGACTTCCACTAATCATCATGGACACTCTCTCACCTGGTAGTCATGAGGTAGATCTGGTGCTGATGTGAGGATGATGATGATGGTGACGAAGATTGTAATGTAAATGATCATGGAGAAATAAAAATGAGTGAAAAAAAGATGACACTGAAAAGTGAGATGATGGCAGCGAAAGTAATAGAGTTGATGAGCTCATGATCAGGGATAGACATTAACTTTTTTGTCCACCTGCCCCAGTGGCTGACTGATTCCAAAATCTACCAGCCACTCAATAGATTATCATTGTTTTTTTTGGCCTGTAAGCGAAGCAAATCTAGCAGCCACTTGTGTATTTTACCTGCTAATTTCTAACCCTGCTTTTAAAGGATGAGTTCACCCATATTACAAAAAAAAGAAAAAAAAAAAGAAAGAAAGAAAAGAAAACGCTGCATTTCAGGGAAGACAATGTGATATGACTAAAAACTCCAGGAAAGCCAGTAAATGTATCACGTTTTATCATGTGGGGAAGTTATTTTCTCAACTGTTGCATCCAAGGTCTTGAATTACGTTTAAACTCTGCCCTTAAAGTGCTTTAAAAAGGGAAATTTGAACATCTGCATTTTCATGACAGATGGGTAAACCACATCTGCTGATGAGGATCATGTGATATGATAGAAAGCTCCAGAAGAGCTATTAAATGGACCTTTAAGTGCGATTTTTTTCGTACCCAAAGGCCCCGATATACTCAAAAATGGACATTAATGCAGATATTGGTGCAAATGCGCACACTTTATGCTAGAATGGATCTCTGTGTATCCCTTGGCTGCATCGCTTCAGGTATCTCCAGATCCGAGATTTCACTCACCGGAACTTCTCCTCTTTTCCACCCCCCCCCACCTTTGGATGGTATTGGAAAATGCCTTGTTATTAACCCATGTCTAAGAGGACAGATTTCTAGACTGTTTGACATTATTCAAGGGGACATGGGGAAACCCCCTCTCGACCGCCTAAAGGGTTCCTGGGAGGAGGAATTTGGAGGTGAGATATCTGATGAGTCCTGGCACTCTGCAATTACGATGATTCACTCGTCCTCCGTTTGTATTCGCCATGTCCTAATACAGTTTAAAATCTTTCACCGCCTACACTTAGAAATAGACTCGCCA